TGTTAGTCTGCAGACTAAACTATAGGATCCATCGGCTATAGATGGATTTATTGCTTAGTTCATCCACTGACTGGGAAATGACCTGTGGAACGTCTTCCTGTAGACAGAAAACTGCTGGTTTTAGCAGCTAAATGCTGCACAGGGAGGCATTTTACTGAGCGTCTCTGTGGGAGTGGGGAGTACCAAGATGGCGGATGGTGACTTCAATTAATAAAGAAGCAAATAAAACGATATATACATTTATGTCTCACTTTATAATTTAATTTAATTTCTACCTACATTTATTTGTTTATTGTATGTTTTCGGGCAATTAATTGTATGCTTGTTTATTTATTGAGCATTTATTTTTTCGGTATTTTTTTTTTAAAACGTGGTAGAGCTGGTCCTCCATGCACCCTGCCTTATGAATTGTTTCAGCTCAATAAAGAGGCGCCGCCATCTTTGCCCGATAGGGGGCAGCAGTTCTGCACTGAGGGTCAAAGCGGCGGTGAAGGTTTCCCAGAAGAAGAACAGCTCTCCTCTCAGCGGTGCTAAAGTGACCTCTGCTACCCGCCGCTCTGCTCTCTAACCATGGCTCCTCCTGTCGCAGTCTCTCCTCTAATCAAGGTTTGTGCTCATAAACCTGCTGCTGGAGCGGATATGAAGCGATTTAGTCTAAAAATGTCGGAATATTTATCCGGACTCTACTGACGGCTCCTCTGAAGCCACTGACCTGCTGACTATAACAAGGATGTATCTGTGTAATGGCACCTAGCTAATGCTAATGGTTTAATGCTAACACCACAGTAGCTCCCAGTCCGTCCAGTTGAGTTTCAGTCCGGTTGAATCTCAACATGATTCCGGCTGAAGGATATTTTTGTGTCGCTTGTCGCTAAGCTAACAGTGTTGCTAAGCTAACATTGTGGAGCCTGCCATTAAACAAACTGAATAAAAACAGTCTGATTTCTTAACAAGATTTCCCGTAGAAGTTTCTATATTTTATACGCATCTAAACTGAAACAATTAATGTTATTTTAACTCTGATTTTAATTATTTTAAACAGTCTGTTTAAAGCGTTTTGTCTCCCCCTGCTGTTCATATTGTAAATGACATGTTTCCTTGTCTGTTTATTCCAGACAGCCAGATATTCAGCTTTAATTGTTGGTATTATCTACGGTAAAACCAGATATGGTAAGTTATTCAGTCTTATTTCACTTCTGTTCAGTTTATCTCTATAGCGCCAATTCAATACTCATGTCATCTCAAGTCAT